CGTGTCGGACAAGTTCCCCCACCCGCCCCCCCACCCGCCCCCCCACCACCACCACCACCACCACCACCACCACCACCAGCGCCTGTCGGGCAACGTCAGCGGCAGCTTCACCCTCATGCGCGACGAGCGAGGGCTCCCGACCATGAACAACCTCTACAGCCCCTACAAGGAGATGCCCGGCATGAGCCAGAGCCTGTCCCCGCTGGCCGCCACACCGCTGGGCAACGGGCTGGGCGGCCTCCACAACGCGCAGCAGAGCCTGCCCAGCTACGGGCCCCCGGGCCACGACAAAATGCTCAGCCCCAACTTCGACGCGCACCACACTGCCATGCTGACCCGCGGTGAGCAACACCTGTCCCGCGGTCTGGGCACCCCGCCCGCGGCCATGATGTCGCACCTCAACGGCCTACACCACCCGGGCCACGCTCAGTCCCATGGGCCGGTGCTGGCGCCTAGCCGTGAGAGGCCACCCTCGTCCTCTTCGGGATCGCAGGTGGCCACATCAGGCCAGCTGGAGGAGATCAACACCAAAGAGGTGGCCCAGCGCATCACCGCCGAGCTGAAGCGCTACAGCATCCCACAGGCGATCTTCGCGCAGAGGGTGTTGTGCCGGTCTCAGGGGACTCTCTCCGACCTGCTCCGGAACCCCAAACCGTGGAGTAAACTCAAATCTGGCAGGGAGACCTTCCGCAGGATGTGGAAGTGGCTGCAGGAGCCCGAGTTCCAGCGCATGTCTGCCTTACGCCTGGCAGGTAAGCCCAGAGGGTCTCCTGGAGCCAGGGTGCTGGGAGAGGGCTCCGGGGTGCCTGTGGCCCCGGGTGAGGGCGCTTAGCCACATCTCTGGGTTCTCCCCTCCTCTCCTCACTTCCTATTTCTTCTCTACTTGATTTCTTCTTCTGTTTCCTCTTTCTCCTCTGTTCTCCCTTTCTCTTACTTCTCTTCCTTCCTCCCTCCTTGTCTCCCGGGCTTCCTGACCGACCCCCACCCGCATTTTATTCGCACTTTGGTCAACGTGCCAACTCTGCCCTCTCCTTCCGACCTTACCCAGTTGTGGGAGTCGCGATGGGGGTGCACCGTGTCCGCTAGGAGCCCTCTCTTTCCAGGACTCACAGGAAAGGGGGATTGCCTTTATTGGCAACCCTGTGCACTTGAACTCTTGCTTAGACAATACATTTCCAAGCTTGCTTAGGCAATACATTTCAGTTTTCCAAGCTGCCTGGTCTCCCTATATGGAGGCAGTTGGTGGGCCGGGGGGGGGGGGGGGGGGGGGGGGGGAAACTTGTTTGGTCACTGACAAGAGTCACAGCCTTGCCCACGCGGAGAACGGGTGACCAGGATACAACAGCGCTTCCCGAGCCCGTTTCCGGCCTTGACATTGGCTCGGGGACTTTATGATCGAAAGAGCAGGCTGGGGCCAGCTCCCTTGTCACTGCCCACAGTGAGGGGAGGGTACAAGGACGAAGGTTGGGACTGCCACATCCACCTCTCTGGGAGGACGGGAGAGGAGCAACTAAGAGTAGAGAGCGTCCTGCCTCACTCGCCGGCCGCCCTTGCCCGGCTCCCAGCGTCTGCCAGGATTTGCCGAGGTTTGGGGCCTCCGGGAGAGACTGTGAGCTCGCGGGAAGAGGTGCAGAAAAATTAAGATGCAGGTTAGTTAACGCATCTTGGCCGCGGGCTACAGGCTCCGCCTTTGCATTAAGCGGACGCTGATTGTGCGCGTAGCTCGGCGACGGGGAGGGCTGGCGGCCGGCGGGAGAGGACGGGTCGACGCATTGGTTACATTGTTCTGTAGCCGGCTTGGCTCTTTGTGCCTCCTCTAGCGGCAGAGCCGCGAGGTACAGCCCTCTATTGTTCTAGGAGCACAGAAACCTCCTGAGTGGGCGGCGGGAACCAGAGAGAAAGGCGCAGCCGTGGCTGCGACTGGCACACAGTTGCGCGCACAGTTGCGCGCTTTAGTGCGCACAGACCCAGCGCGGTGCGCGTGGCAATTGCGCTGCCCCCAGGACCCTGCCACGGGCCAAGAGGGGCAAAGTATCCAGGCGCCCCACTGGGGAGGACGTACGGTACCCGGACACAGGCCGAGATGGGCAGCTTCTTTTGGATTGAGGCTGTCTCTCCCGATCGTCGGATTATCTGGCGGACGATTTGTGGTGGCCGTGATTTACATAGGTGCGGGTAGTGGGTAGCGCGCGGTTCCGAGCCGCACACAACGCGCTTCCGGAGCTGTGAGCTCAGGCTTCCTCTCTGGCTCCCCGGGGCTATCCTCGCACCGCTGAGCCTGGCTAGTAGGGTGCACTCTACCTACGCCGGACAGGGCTGCGGGGTGTGACAGGCAACGTGTTCGCCCAGGCTTGGGGAGGAGGCGTTTCCACTCTGACAGCCTCCGTCTTTGCCCGCTGTTGGAGGATTCGGATCTCTAGTCAGTAATCTCCCAGCAGTGTTGATCTGAAAAGGTAAAGAAACTAGCCCCCCCGCAAGGGCTTTCCCACATCGGTGGACTCCAAATAGTTCTGCATGGATTTAGAAACCTACTTTATCTTTCTCCTCATTTAGCTTTTTACTCTTCATCCTTTCCTACAGTTTTCTCTGATTGCTCTTGGTTCCTCGCAAAGATTAAGCAGTGAATAGAGATTATCCATGAAAAACGGGAAGCTTACTGACAATTCCAAACAGTGTGGTACCCCTTTATCTTAGGCTCCTGAAAATGCCTTTAGTCCCTCACGGGTGAGTTTTAGCAAGGGCTGGCTTCTTGGGCACAGGCAGCCAGAAGAAACTTGGCAGCTGGTCTTGGGGAGGGGGGACCAGGGTAAGGTAAAGGCAGGGTGACAGCTATTCTACTCCGGCTGATCTCAGAGCGCTGCCGCCCCCTCACGCCTGTCCCGAAAAAGACAGAGATTTTTAAAACACGTGCCCTCTGCCAATGTATGTCTGAAAGTGATTTGGAAAGTAATGCTTTCCTGGCTAGCCGGTCTCAAGCATTTTTGCAACAGCATTGCTGAGATGGGGGAGAGTGTGGCATCCCTGGGGGACCCCAGTCCCACCACCCACCACGGGAGAGTCCCGGGGCCACCCCTCAGGGGCTGGCCTCAGGCAGCATTGGGGATTTTCAGAGCAGGAGCAAGAAAGCCCCCTCAGTGGGAGTCTGAAAGCCTCCTTCAGCGACTGGGAATTTCCTGCGAGGGACCCCGCTTTGCTCAAGCATTCAAATGTGTGTCTGTTTTATTACCCAGAGTTGAAAAGGGACAAGAGCTTTAGCCTTTTTATCTGGCCATTCGATCAGCAAGTACAAGTGTGTTGAGTGGTTATTATTACATAGGAAGCTTTTCAGTTTGGGGTCAGTAGATCAGTCTCTTCAGACACTGATGCAGAAGCTGGGACTGGTATCATGTGCTTGGAGCGCTAGGGGATAGGAGCAAATGGAGAAGAAACGCTGAGGACTTCTCCAGGAGTATGGATCGAATCTCGCCAGGACGCTGCCGAGGGCCCGCACCGTTGAGCTCTGGGGGTTAAACAATCCCAGTGATTCCACAGGGCAGCTCTGCCTGACTCCCAGGCCCGAACCTCGCCGAGACCGACCAGCCCCCCATCTCATGGAGACCAGCGCTGTCTCTCTCTCTCTCTCTCTCTCTCTCTCTCTCTCTCTCTCTTTCTCTCTCTCTACCTCTCCCTCCCTCACTGTCTCTCTCTCTCCCTTTCTCTTCTCTCTCTCTCTCTCTCTCTCTCTCTCTCTTAATTTCGCTTTCTCTTTCTCATTTTGGGTCTTGCCAGAGGTAAGCAGATAGGGCTTTGAGGGACCGCAGAGTTAAGACGCCTGATTTGGGCCAGTGTCGGCAACCTCACCCTTAGGTAAAGTACACCCCCGTCACAACAGAAGCGCCGACCGCCTCGGTGTATCCACAGCCCGGGACAGCATTTCAAAAGGGAAGGGAGAAGATGGGGGACCTCAGATTGCCTCAACAGTAGATTTCAGAGAAATGGGCTCCAAGTGCACGACTTCGTTCATAAAGGGTGGCGAGGGCCGAAACTGTTTGCAACCATGCGGGCTTGGGTCTCTTCCGCGGTCCCGGTCTGGCTCCGGCAGAGCAGTTTTTATTAACCCGGCAAGAGGCGGCGAGGACAAACTCCAGCGTGTTCAAGCACAAACCCTCACTGGCTTTGAGCCCAAGAGGCCTCTGAACTAAGCACACACGAACCAGGAGGGACCGAGAGAACCCAGGCAAGCAAGTGGATGGGCGCCTCGCGGAGGACGATCGAGGCCCCGGTGGCGGGAGTGGTTTCCTCCAACAACTGGAAGACAGAGCAGAGACCCTCCGACGACACACCCTGCCCAGGTTTCCGCCTTCTGTGAGCCGGGCTCCCGGGGCGGCCCGCCCCGAGCCTGCCTCGCGTCCCCGCGGCGAACAGACGCCCGGCCCTCCCCAGGCAGCAGCTCCCAGCGACCAGTCCGGAGCCAACTCTTGTTGAGGCAGCGGAGGGCCCTTAACCAACCCAACGGGATGTCGCCTGGGCCACCTGACGCCGGCGGCAGCGGAGCGTGGCCAGGGCAGAGCGCTGCGGCGCCTGCCAGGGGCACCACGTGCGTGCGCGGCTTCTTTTGGCGCCAGGGGACGTCCTCAGGCCACCCTAAGCCTAGGGACGGGGGCGGGGACCTCATCCGCAGAGACCCGCACCCCGACTCCCACCCCTCCCTCTGGTCAGCCTCTCGGCCGGGCTCAGCCGGTCTCTCCCGAAGGTTTAGTTCGGGATCCGAGCCGGAGAGGCCGAATGTAGCCCACGTCGGTACGGAACACAAGATGTTTTCTCCTGCTGGCTGGTCGGATTAATAATTGAAAAGCTCACTACCATCCTTGCTTGGTCAAGTCCCCGGTGCCTCGAGAACACCTTCCCATCTCGCATTAGGGTGGGCGGGAGCTGGGCCGAGCCGGCGGGACGCGAGGGAGGTTAGTGAACCCGCGGGCGAGAATTGCCTGGGTCCACGGGCGCCCTCGATGCGAGAGGCTGCGCGTTTATTTTTATTCCAGGCTTTCCACCATGTGGTTTTGTCACTTTCTCAAACAAATGTGTATATGGAGGGAGATCGATGCCGATAATGTTTAGAAGATTAAAAGAGCATTAATGCTGGCAACAATAACGTTACCGTGTAGACCCAGATTTCATTGATCTGGAACTTGATCCGGCGCGTTTCCAGTAAGCCCGACGGCGCCCTCTTCCCAGCAGAGCGCTCGCCAGCGGCCTGGCTCCCCGGCGCTCCCGCCGCGCTGCTTCCGCAGCTGCAGGCGGGTTCTCGGGTCTGGCCGCTGCTGCACCCCGCGCGGCCCCAGCCCGCCGCTTCCTTCTCGAGGTTTCCTGCTGTCAACAGGCTGCCTGCCCTCTCCCCCGGTCCCCGCGCGCGCAACGCCGCTTTCTGCGCTCTCTGCCGCGGGCTCTGCGGGTGGTTGGTATACCGAAGGCGTCGCACGGGACGGCGCCCGAGTCCTCTCGTGCTTAGGGTGCCTTCGCCTCTGCCCCGCGCGGCCCGCATCTGGTCCAGCAGGGCCGGGAGCAACTTCTTTCCTCCACGGAAATCATCCGGGAAATTTGGTCTCCTCTCCATATGCGGGAACGTCCAAGCCGAACTTTAGAAACGACGTCTCTAAAGAGGAAAACAAATATCATATATTAACAGATATATGTGGGAACCTAGAAAAAGTGGTACAGATGAACTTCCTTGCAAAGCAGAGCTAGAGACACAGACGTATAGAAACGACGTCTTTTTTTTTTTTTTTTTTTTTTTTTTTTTGTGGTACACGGGCCTTTCACCGCTGTGGCCTCTCCCGCTGCGGAGCACAGGCT